AATAAACTTTTATATTACTCACATGGACTTTTACTCGTCAGTTTGCATTTTCGAATGTCATTGGCAAATTATATACATAAATGTGATATAGGTATTTAATATTTGACTTACGTGCATGATATAACCCTTAGGTTAAACATTTTTTGCATCAATTAGACATTAACATACTAATCCACTTGTAAGCAGTAAAACTACGTGAATTTTCATTTTTAAACTTTTACTTTAACACGAACACAGTTTACATCAATTTAAACAAACAAGTTTATGCCATATTATATTTTTACAGTCAATGCCAGTCAATGGAGTCAATGCAAAGAACTATGCCTGTAAGTTGGTAAATAGCAGGAAAGAATGCAGTGTCATCTTGTGTCAAAATATAAAATAATTCAATCAATATAATATATCATTTATCAATTTAATATAACGAAAGATTAAAATTATAGCTATAGAAGGTATGAATTTATTAATAATATGAAGGGATATTTATTATTACTTTTAAAAACTTAAAATAATTAAGTACTTAATCATGTATAGATCGTTATGTGTGCCTGGAGTCTGTGGATCGTTTTCTTTCGTATTATTTCTAAAAAATCGTACCATATCCCATATTATTCAACAAAAATAAAAATATTAAGTAATACATTAATAAAGAAAATATATAATTTTCGTTTCCGCAGTATAGTAATATTGTTGGAATAAAATCGAGAGTAACAAAAATAATATATATTTCTCATAAAAGTTTAAATCTAGATAATATGTAAGTAGATAGATTGTATAGTGCAGTGATTAGCTTTCCATGAGATAATATTATACCTACCTCATGAGAAATCCACACAGATAAAAGTTGGCGCACATCAGCAGTTGTCTCGGCCAGTAATTGTCTTCGCACACTGCGTTGAAACCTGACTCCACAATTGCAACATACACTTCTATTTTCATTGTATGCTGATCTAGCAGATTCCATTTTCTTAAAATCGCATATAAATACAAAAAAACAGTAGCGTAACGAACGTCAATGCCGTTAAGATTAAAGACGTAGGTACCCGCCGCCCCGCCCCGCCGTACCCGGCCGCCGGCCGCTGGGAATTACCGGAAGTCAATGATAAAATAACGTTTTGGTTCACAGTCATTTAGAACTATGTTATAACATGATATTAGCTAAAATTTTTAGAAATTAAACATAAAGTTCTTAGTGGTATCTTTTTTAAGTCAGCTTTGTGAAAAAATAGTTTTCTTTTTTATACAAGCTGCAAAATGACTAATTAGGTACACGCATTTTACCCATATTACACTAATCAGAACACGAATATCAAAACAACTAATTTTTTTTCGTATTTCTTGATTCCGTTTACATTTTCGAAAAATCTGTAGGCCATTTACTATTATAATTTGGTGTCTTTTTTTTGATGTAATACCATTAGTGGACGTTAATATTTTTAGTGGGCCCAAAAATGATTGTCCCCTTTAGTGTGATTTATTTGCAACGTTTTTTTGCCCACCGATCGACCTTTACGAATGTGTACATGCGCATTAAAATCAGTCAAAATAATGCATTACCACACATTTTGAATTTAAAAGATAAAAAAGATAATGTTTGAGATTTTTTTTAATAAATTTTTCTTCACCATTTGCCTATATTATTTATTCTGATTTATTCTAACCTTCTCTGCAAATTTGGACGGTTATTGTAAAATAACCTTGTATAATAAAATCAATTACCGTGGGTTAGTCTCGCAAACACTCGAAAATACCATGACCGATTATGATGAAATTTTGTGTTGAAAGGGATGAATTTCTCTTGATGGTTTAGATTCATAGTTGAACCAGGTGGTAGTGGTAGTAGCGCTGTTGTCGAGATCCAGAAATCATTCATGCGAAACCGGGACAGATCGCTAGTATAGCATAAATACTTTAGTTGAAATAGCTTAACGAGTGAAACACTCCGATTTGAAATTTAATCATGCCAGTATCTAATTATAATATAAGTTAATTTTAACTATCCCTGCATCAAAATAACGTTCCATCGCCTAATAGGTATTTAGTGACCTAGAAATACGCCAACGGCGACGTATTAAGTACACAGTTATTGAATAATATAGGTAAGGGATAAAAATAAATTTTGTGAGAATTTTATTAGTGAGTTACAACTTGGTATTATAAAAACAAATATTTAAGAATGTTATTATTTATAAATCTTTGCAGTTTGATATTGGTTAATGCCATACTAGGTAGGTAGCTGACGTGATCGAAGTAATATAAAAACAATATATTGTATGGCTCAAAGAGATTTTTATATAACAGCCATTAAAACTACTGGTACATAGTACTTAAATGAATATGCACGTAATTGGCGTATTGGAAAATAAGAGTCATCTCTCACCGGGACACCAAACGGATGACCCTTATGATATTTATAAAGACCCAGATGATATTTAGAAAATAATAGAATAGAATATGTTCAAATAAATATAGGTAAAAATCTGTTTCTAGAAGAACGGGTAAGAAATGTTTTTAAATATTAATTTACAGTATATTATGTACCATTAAATATGAATACAGTTAGAATAGAATATTTTTTTATTCAATATAGATCGCATGAAATTCTTATTAATTAAACTTGGTAATAGAAAGACCTTGTAAATTTTCTGTGATTTTGTTGTAATAGCATATATTTTTTAAATTTTTTTAATACTTAACAGCAACCTGAATGCCTTATTGTATTGAGTACATAGGGCACTACGTGTGTTTTTTGTGTAGTTGGTCCATAGGTTACAATAAAATGACGCATAATATGCTTTGAAAAGCGTGAATAATACTTACTTTACTTATCTTCACGTACAATCCCTAACGGGGTAGCCAGAGAGAACAGATCGCTAAGTGTCACGATCCTTACATACCTCTTTCGCTTCTTTCAGGTTAACTTCTTCATACATGCACGTCTAGGTATCCGAGTACTCTTGACCCTCCCCTCTTCGAGCAATTTGCTCACATGGTCTTCGAAAGTTAATCTCGGTCTACCTCGACCTTTAATATTTACTTTCGCTCTATATATTTTCTTCACCATTCGGTCTTCACTCATTCGTTCAACGTGCCCAAACCATTGGAGTATGCCCCTATCAATTTTTGTGATAAGGTCATCTTTCAATCCTGCCATATTGCGAATCTCTTCGTTTCGCTTTCGGTCGGCTATGGTAACGCCACACATTTTACGAAGAGATCGCATCTCCACTGCATTCAACTTGCTTTTATGCTTCTTCTGGAATACCCAGGTTTCGCTGCCATATAACAAAGTCGGTACCAACACTGCGTTATGTATTGCAAGGCGTGCACTCTTCACCACGCCTTGCCTTTTTACTAATGTGAATAATATGCTTTGAAAATATCTTGACGACTCTCTTCTTGACTTTCGACGTCAGTGCAGCGACCAAATCTATGCACCAGTTTATTCGCCTTGACCGACAGTACTCTACGTTCTCTTTCAATGTCTTCATCGTCTTTAAGGCTGTCAGTCACAGTATGTACACGATATTTAAAACTATGGACCCTTTCCGGTGGTTCGTTATAGAGTTTTGTAGGGGGTACAACACTAGGAAATTTACTGCCAGCCTTAAATACCATGAATTGCGACTTTTTGGTATTGTATAGTAAACCATGTGTGACAGCGAATTTTTCACAAACACCGAGTTAGCTCTCAGCGCAAACAGTTATTGAACCGAGGGTGCCAGCAGAACTATAACATCCGCGTAGCTGATATTATTCACACACACCTTGCCGATATGGCAGCCGACACGCATGCTGCTGAGCTCTCGAATCGGCGATGTCAGCCCCCATTGCCTCACCCCGCACTCCATCCTGTACGGCTCGGAATACTCATTCGCCAATCTCACATAGTTCACTTGATTACTGTACCAATACTTAAGCAAATTGGTGTAGCCGTCAGGTAAACTTACGCCTTCTAACTAAAGCCACAAGATGTCGTACGAGACAACATCGAAAGCTTTACTCAGATCTAGGAAACAGGCGTACACCGGTGTGCGCCTGTCCGTGTAATATTTGACAGTATGCTTTAAGCTCGCTATTGCTATTTCTGTCGATAGACCACGCGTGAAACCGTGCGGGCCATCATGTAGCATTTAGTGGTTTTCTAGAATAGAGTTAAGCACACTGTCAAATATCTCGGCTATTGCCGTTGCCAAGGATATTGGTCTGTAGTTCGATCTCTCTGATACGTCATCAGTACGGTTTTTAGGGACAACTGAAGTTCTTATTAAGTCGGCAAGCAACACGTTGCAATCTAAAGTGAGTAATATATTGAACCTAGAACAAAAAAGCTTAGATCATACATCGTACAATATACTGCTGCCTAATTTTGTAAGACATAAATTGACATGACATGCTTATTCCACCCTATTAGTACACGTTTTTCTTTTTTATACATATTTCCTTGGTGAGTTTCGATACCTGCACATGATAAAACAGACAATATGTTTATATCAATCATCTATGACACTTCTATGGCTTATGTCGTCACAAAAACATAGCTCCAATTTATGAATTCCGATGGAAAATGTATTGAATGAAGATTTTCGTTACATACTTCTGTACAATCAGTTATTTCCTTCATCAGTTCTGCAGCCCCATTTTATTTTTAATTGCAGTTATAATTTTTGGAACAGCCTTAGGTATAACACAGTTTAACCTACATTGAATCAAGAGTGGGAAATGGTCAGACCAGTATACCATCATATAAAATCTTCGTGTTATTTATTAATTTATACGCTGACTCAGTTAAGCGCCCCTAATATACATAAAATATCGTCCTCGTGTGAAGTAACACACGCTATTGATGACGCCAAGTTTCCGTTTTGCCAGTTCCATCAGTGATTATAGAAATGCTGTTTTCTATTATAAGTACTGCTGTAGAAGAATCACTCATAAAAAAATCCCAGAAATAAAATATTCCTATTTAATGTAATATTATTATAACGTATTTCACCCACCTGCGACATCCAAGGACGTTTCCATCCAGAGGCAAGGGCGTCAGCGGGGGAGAGGGAAAGCGAACGGCGGGGAGAGGCAGCATTTTGGGGTTGAGTTGCAGCCCCACTCCCAGCTCTCTCCCCGCTCTCCGGACCTACCACAGTTGAGGCCGAACCGGATGTTGATGACCCTGTTGATACACATAATTATGGCTCGAATACAAGGCGCTTGATTTAAGTTATAATTTAATATATTTTTAATTCATAAAAGACGAACTATAAAGTTATATATTCCTTTAATTTCTCATCGCATTTACCCGTATAATCAAGTAAAGAAATAATTTAAAATGGTATCGTCCGATAGATGCTGATAAAATATAGAATTTACACCTATCTGGGTAACCAATGATCTTGTAGGAGGAAAGGATAACTTTTGTGAAAAATGCTATATACATCTATGAATACATGCCTTGCGATTGAGGTCTGCTGTCTCTACCCAACCCTCTAGGTAACAGGAGCGAGAGTTTTTATACTATTTATACATTTTTTGTGAGCGAATTGAGTGATTATTTGCAAACATGTGTTTTAATATATCTAACCGCCACGTTTATGACATTAAAGTAAATAATTTACGCCTTTTTATTTTACCTATGTATGACGATGGAAAACAATTATGATTATTTGTAAACTAGGATATTGAGTGCATAAGACTGAAATCCAATGGTTAAAACTACTAATTATGGAAACCGAACAAGTAGAAAAGTACAATGAAACTTTCACACTCAAGGGCGGTACTAATAAGGCGTAGAAGAATTAAATTTAAAAATACCGTATAACCTAATAATGATCTTTGCTGAGCATTCTCCTCTACTGATTGCCTCTTAGTGGGTATATTTGCCATAGTAGCACGCTTTGCAAGCCGGTTAGCAACTGCAGTTTTTATTTTTGGTCGTTATTAGGAAGATGCTGCATCTCCGGATTTGTTTCCCTGTATCGCCTCTTACGACACGACGAGATGATATGGGACAGTGGATATTTTCTACACCGCCACTACACGGGTAATTTTAAAAATAGTATTGTTATGTTATATTGATTGTCACGTGAGTAAGGTGACAGTACTTTCACTAAGACTTATTATAGTTGACATGTAAGTATATTTTCCATTTTGAGACAATTTATTTTGTTTTTTAATTTTAAGTAGATGTTATATTTTATTTTATTTAAAATTATGAAAAAGTCTAAAGACACCACAGGTTGTAGCAATGAAATGATACATAAATGTATTCATATCAAGTGCCATCTAACTCATTCTATAATAAACTAGCTTGCCAGGCAGAGGTTGTCCTGCCCTTTTCGATGACCCTTTGTCATATCCTATTAAAAATCCTTAAATTCGCAAATTGTGGGTCACTCATGGGCAAAAAAACTATCCTATCTCTCAAGTTGGACCAAACTGCACACGGTGTGCAAATTTGACTAAAATCGGTTAAGTAGTTTAGGAGTCCATCGCGGACGAACAAAGTGACACGTAATTTATATATATAAAGATAAGCTCTAATAATAACTTTAGGTGTAAGTAAGTGAGCGTTAATGATAAATTTCACTTACCTTTATCGGGGGTGACTGTCGAAGCGTTAGAGAGTGAACTGGGTCCAGTCGCTGGCTGGCTACTTCCCTTTGGTAAATATTTTCGCCCGATGACGGGCGTTTGCGACAGGTCAAACGTGAAGTCCATAGTGCGTCCCGGGAGCTCCTGTGAAATGGCCGCAAAATGAGGCAACTCTTCGCTACACATTTGTTGAATATAGGCTTAGTGTATTTTCTGTAAAAACATGAACTTTTACTCGTAGGCTTAAGAACGAAAATAACAAACGGGCAATAAATATGTTGTAAGATGCACATGAACTTGTAACCAATATATTGTACATAATATATTAATACTTGTTGTTGCTCACTTAATTCGTACGAATTAAGATTAAGATTCTTAATGTAATAAGGTACAATACATTTGTTATAGGTATCAAATGATAAATTTTAACAAAAGTTTATAAATTAACATATATCATATACAAAAAAGAATTTAAAAGAATCCAACAAATATGTTCGTATAATATGCTTACGTAAATGCGAAAAGTTGGTGTGAAACTGTATTCTTAGTTTTATTTGAATACAGCTTTTGTTAGTGACGCAATACAGTAAACTGGTATATTGCTCGTTCCCAACCTAATGGCGTATGTGAGATTCACTGCGATTGCGCCTACTGTCAGTTTGGAAATAAAGTCTAATTTCTTATTTAGTTCACAATACATATAAAAATTATCAATTATAATTAACTGAATGCCACAGAGATGTGGAATTTGTGAATTAAATTTGAAAAATAACGCGTAAAATGCTTAAAGTATCTCTCACCCTTTTTACTAAATGACAAAAGAAAGAGTCAGCTATAGAATCAGTACTTAATGTAAGTTAGCGATAATCAACAATTAAAGAGAGAAGCTTTTTATGTTTATCTGAATACACAAAAGGTGTTTGTTATTGTCTCATTTATTTTCGTATAATATTTTATTTAATTATTTTATTTAGTCGAATGTACTGAGCAGGAACGTACAAACGTGTGCAGTAAAGAAAAATTTTCTTTCGCGCAGTACCTTACGCCGTCGTCCTTTCAGAGTCGTCAATAAGTTTATATCGCATTCACACTTTAACATAAAAACAATGTTACATCATCCTTTTATATTTTGATTATATTTCAAAAGAAATACTTCGTTATATAAATGAAAAAAAAAATATTACGTAATTGAGCGCATGCGAAGTATGCTGTAAGCTGGTTCCATTTCCAGGAAATCGCTGTATTGATTTTTGCTATTATTACGCCCTGCAAACGGCGTGAATTGCTTCGAAAATTTCTAGTTAGGTATGACTTGTATAATATGTAATTTATTTTGAATAAGGATGAAGAAAAACGCTTTATAATACGAATACCTTTTTAAAATATCAAGTGAACGTAGATGGCGCGGTGAAGCAACAAATTGTGTGTTTAATTGTTAAAGAATCAGGACTTATATTAACAATTATTATATTGAGAAAGATATATTATTAGTTATGATTTAATAGTTATTGAGTACCCATCATACGCAACATACCCCGCCCATGGGGGCACTATGAGTGCTGTAAGGCACCTGAATGATCGGAGATAAAAAAAATAAGTAAAATTAATTGTGATAAAAGCCGTAAAATTAGTTTTATTCAACATCTAGTACTCGTGTAAATATAAGAAATTATTATAATAAACAATGACAGTTCGTATTTATGCAAAGGGGAGTTTTATACTTCGCAATTTAAAGCGTATTAAATGAAAAAATATAAGGCTAAGCGTTTATTTTCTCTCGGATAGAAGTTATTTATAGGATAAAATACAACATAACTTAAAAATTACAGTTGTAGGAATAAAATAATAAAATTTTTATTTCAGTCGGGTTATAATTTCTTTGGTGTAACTTTTATCTAACGATTGTAACATCGGTTCTTAAATCAATAAAGAGGTAAAATAATTTCTTGCATTTTTCGAAATTGTTAATGGCGGTGTGACAATGCAAAAAATATGTTAAGGTTAACTAATATTAATCTTATATTATTCTAGATTATTCTAAATGAGTGTACACGTAAATAAGTTTAGTATTAGTACTTTCTCGAAAAAGACAAAAGTAGAGATCGTCTAATTTTTGAAGTTCACGCGCCTTCTTATATTTTAGTATATTTTATCGCTTTTTTTTAAATCTAGTAAAACACAATAGAATTTGCGCGCAGATTTAAACTTTGTTATACATAATTAATGCGGTAAGTGTGACCAAATCTACTGAAAATACAAGTAGTAGCGCGTGCAGTTTTAAATTAGACGATCTCTAACATGTTTCATTGTTATCGTTTTTAGACATTCATCTTTATTGCACACACATGCTAATTTAATCTAAGAAGTAAATAAACAATTCAAATACTTTCAAAAACATTATAAGGTAATATGATATTATTCATAATATACAAAACATAACTATGATTGAACGAGATGTCGTAAGTATATGATATTAAGCTCGAGTGATTACTAAAATTTTATCCTATGTTTAATCTATAAGAGTACAATTTAGTATACTTGTAATCCTTCTGTTTTGAGAATGCCGTCATCTATTGTTACGAAATGAACGCCACTGGTACGAATAAAAGTGTAGCTCTTAAAATGATTATTATTTAGATAGAGAAAGTATTAGTTTTATTATTGAATAATGGTATGCAGATGTATTTTAACCAATCGATGTATTTTACTGAATTAATTCCATGGAATACCTATATTGTTTGCATTGATGTTGTTGTTGATATTCAATATACATATATTAAAATAATAATAAACTTCTAAAGTTTGTTATATAATATTGTAATAATGATTTCTTATATTTACGCGAACACTACACATTGAAATAATACTAGTTTTTACGGAATTTATCGCGTATATTTAACTTTTTAAATACCCGACATGACACATGGACGTTGAACATCTCAGTTCCGCCCGTGACCATGAGTGCTGTAAAGCGTTCGAAACGTCGGGTATTTAAAAAGTTAAATATACGCGATAAATTCTGTAAAAACTAGTATTATTTTAATATTGTAATATTAACAAAACATAAATAACAGTTCAAAGTAAAAAACACGGACAGAAGTGCCAGCGCAGCCACTACAACAATCTATTAGCAATTAGCTTGGCCTGGTTAGAAGTGAAGTTGTATAAAAACTCTATGGGCGGTACCATCATTTTCTAAACTCGCACGTAGTAAATACCTTTTTCCCATGCAGCTCAGTGTCAAGTATTGACGAGGCGTGGTTGTCCCAATGTGGTGGTACCACTAGTGTAGAGCATCGCGTCACAACCAACTTCAGTATCTTCATCGCCTCTTTATAATTGTTCCCGTCCTGCTGCTTGAAAGGAAACAGAACAACAGGTGTCTTAAATGTTGTAGGGTCTAGTTTCCATGAAAGATTTATTACTTATGTATTTAGAATGAGGATCACGAACATCAATACTCTTCTAATCACTTTAACAATAAAAAAAGTACTGTTGAAGGACAATACATAGATATTTACTAAAAATCTATAAATGCAAAAATTATGCATTTTCAAATCCATGTTTAATTGCACGGCTAGTAACTAGTATAGACAATATCAACAAAAAGAAATATTTTCAAACCTAGTAGTTCAGTTAACAAGAATGTAATGAACATTACATTCGGCAACCTTAATTAAGTATCCAACGCCGCCATTTTTACATATTAATAGATGCTACTGACGATGGAAAACTATGATAGGTGACAATAAACTCACGTCAATGAATTTGGCAACGGCACGAAGTAGGTCCGCGTTCACGGACTGGGCTGCTGGGGCGTTCAGTTCCACATAGTGAAGCATGCAGTGCAAGATCGACAGAACGGGTAGCTGGAGATTCACGGCGCCCTTGAAGTATTTAATCGGTTGGTTATTAGATAGTGGTCGCATGGTTAGAATTACTGATTACTATGCAATTTTACATATTATAACATGACAAGCGAGCTAATAGTCTAGCCTTTAGCATAAACAAAAATTTCAACGCTCCTTAGACTATAAGTTTATGAAATATTAAAATATTGCAAATTATTTGTACACTAATTTATCTCTTTAGTTATATGTTTACTATCTATTAATCACATAACAGAAATTAATAAAACGACAACCAAATCTATAATAAGCTTGTAGTGTAGTGCTCCTACGTTAATATACTTTAGTGTTAAGGTAGAATGATGAGGCAGTCTAATTAAAGTTTTAGTACCAACCACACGTCTCCTTCAATATCACCTTTTCCTATATTACAAGCTAAAACAAATATAACGCGATAACATTACGATGTAACATAGCTAGATAAAATATTTATTTGAAGTATTTGTAAACTATATTTTATTAACATTATTTTCATATTGCAAACACACACATACACACACACACACACACACACACACACACACACACACACACACACACACACACACACACACACATATATATATATATATATTATTTTGGTGTTGACAGGGTACCACTTGGCCACCATTTTGTCTACCTCAATGGCCCCCTCTTTGTATCTGCTACCGCTCCAATTAAAGGCTTCAGTGTCCACTGGGCGGTATCGCTTCCTTTGGAAATCTATGATCTAGAATAGTCTATTGGTAAATGGCTACTGTGGCCTATGACGTAACCTGCAACCATCTTCAGAAGAAGTAGACTACGGATTCGTTGTCACCGCTGAGGAGTAATATGGATTGCTTCACAGCTTGTATTTGTCGTAGAGCTACGCTGCATTTATATTATTGCAGCACAAATAGACTCGTCGTGGGAAGGATCATACCCTCAGAGAATACCAAAGTGAAATAGCAGCTTACTTTTGTAAAGTGAATGACGAAAACCAGAGATACTTTTTACAGGTAAAGAGGCATTCCATTTAAGTTCTCAGGCATGACAACCTGCATTTTGATTATTAATTGATGATAGATTTAGGTGTCTATGGACCATAGTATCCATTAACCAATGAAGTATTATTTGAATTTTTAGAAGTAATATTGAACAAGGAATACTTACCTTTTCCAATACTTCGACCAAAAATGCAAGCATCTGTAGTGAGAGATGCGAATACGTGTCCCATAGGTACTTGACCACACATTTCGTCCATTGGAAGCTCTCTTTGCTGAAGGTGCGTCTCGAGTATAAGGTCATTACTGTACCGAGGTTCTCTAACTTCTTGCTCTTCTCTGCTGTGAACTGCAACACATAGGTAAATACAATTTACTTCCATTAAAGCTTAAAAAGTTCACAACTTCGTAGTGTTAACAATGTCCAAGGTTGAGAGTGCTTTTAGCATTAATTCTGCGTTTTAATTATGTACTGTATAATATGTGAGGGTAAGTCTATATGGCGGGTTTCGTTGCGTTGCGCCGTCGCAACGCAAATATTTGGACGCATTACCGGCCACACTGGCGCTGCGTCACCGCAAGTAAGCCATATCAATTTCTTTAATGGCACTCATTTAACTCTGCAATTTAAACTCACAGAAAACCCGAAATTAGCTTCCGTGCTATCAACGCAAAAACAACAGAGCGTTGTCGCTCCAGCGTCGCAAGCAGTATGCAGTTTTCCGCGTGGACTTTCTCTAAGGTATATAAAGATTAAATAAATAGATAACAACGTTGTATGCAATAATAAAAAAAAATTGACGGTATAAAAACATAATTTACGCTGTCGTGATATAATTGTATAGTAAGGCCAGCGTAACGAGGTAAAAAATGTAACCACCTTCCAAGGTTGTTTAGATCTTTTGATTAGACAAGTGGACGACGGATAATTTATAATTTTTTATGTTGTATATTAAAAGCTGTATATCACTTTAATTTGCACACTGTAATACAGATATCTCATATACAAAATATAAAATAAACACTTATTTGCTTTTACAGTCCATATAATATTGAAGGAGGAACATTTGAAATCTCACTCTGTGCGACTGTTTGACCACAGACTATTATGCGTTCATCGGCAGTATGAACATAAATGTTTAATTTTATTTACTTTATGTATTTGTAATACATTAAAATCAATATTACTTCAAATTTAAAACTGTTAATATCAGCTATCGTCTATATTAGAAGAGTAGTGATTTCTGAATATAAATCAGATAAATTTACCAAGCTACTATTTTCATTAACAAATAACTGACTACACACTTCGGACGCACGTTTTCCATTTAAATCTTCATTTTAATCGAAAGTACTAAGCAGCAGCTTTCATTCAAATTATTTATTAATTAGGGTAGAATGTAAGAACAAAGAAGTATGAAAAGATGTGTTAATTCTTACCTGTGCAATATGGCAAGCAGCTCTTACGCAAAGCTCGTTCGCATCCTCATAGTGGAGCAGCATGTACGGCAGCAGAGCTACTACTGTCATGGGGAAGGCCAAAGACTGTGTTGGGTCGATTACGGGCAGTTCCAGGAGTGGTATCATATCTGCTAGAACACCCACTACGGGTTCGTAAGTATTGGGGTGAGTGCAGCCCTGGGAACGGATAAATAAAATATTATGGCGGATTATCACATGGATTTATTTGTAGGTAAATTAACTGGTGTGCAGTGAAATTAAAACAGGATAAAAAAATTATTTAGTAATGTTCATTTTTTGTATCCCTAGTCGATCTCCATCACAGTAACAACTTTCGGATATATAAAGGTATCTCGATTAGCAGCTTAATGCCAATAGCATAGAGCTTAATTTTACGTATGGTAAGTGTGAAGAACAAGACAACCCCTGTAATAGCAAACGAGGTGTCCAATTCATCTTAGTCCTCGGGAATGTCAGGGAATCTGTATTTTGATTCTTAATAGCTAGATATATAGATATCTACATGTTAATGGGTCACAGTCTACTAACTGTTGGGTGAACTGGGTGTAACGTACGTAAGTCTCATTACCTTTGACGAGGGAAATACTCAGAAAATTATGTATCATTCGATAGATGGCGATATGACCATGTCCTAGGTTGGAATTTGTCACCGCGGCAAAGTGCAATGATTTTGGTAAATCATTATCTTAACAGTGGAATGATGCGTAGCGGTTAAAAAGAAGACATGGTAAAAATATCCAGAATGCCGACGGAAAATAAATAGAATGTTGCGCACGTCTGGTTACAAGATCGCCAATCCACTAGCCAAGTAGGGTGAGTACGCTTTCTATGATTACTAAGATCTACTTCCGATTTTATGTTACATAATAGCTATACATCAATCCTACTTATAATAAACTTGGACGTTGCTCGGAAAGATTTCCTAAAAAAAATGATGTAAGCACCATATGTATTTCTGTCGAGCTTACGTCGTGCGGGTCACGTACCCTCGCCCTCCTCTCTCTAGTTATCTCACCTTGAGCAGCAGCGCGTGTAGAGAAGGCGCGGTATGTGCTTGTGTGCGGTCAAGACGCTCGCGAGCATCTGGCCTATCCAGTGGGAGCCGCGCCATTACACGGGCCAGCAAACGGACGCCCAGTAGGAACTCGTGCTCGTAATCAGATTCCAGAAGCGATGCGCCCACCCAGAACAGAGTCGCTAGGATCGTGAGTTTGTCATCCTGCGGAGTGTTCGATACCTTTATAAGAAAAAAATACCAGCAATGCCATTAGCAAAACTAATATTCCCTTTAACCACTCCTGGTAAGCTTAAAATTTTTGCCTTAGGAGCGGTTCACGACAGGAGTTTGATGGCGGATTCGAACTGAGTTCGCGGTCCGAGACCCACTTAAACACACAATAAAGTTTCGTCAAAATCCGTTTAGGATGAATTCATTAACAAATACACGCACAAAAGAATTATTTATATAAAGGTAGTCAAAAGTTTTGTGAGTGTTTTTTCACTCCCATTCATTACTTATTTTTAAATATAAGTGTAGTTTATTATATATTGTAGTGTTATAAAAATAATAATAATAATTTATTTTCAGACTTTGTCCATAAAGATGTTAGTAGAACAATAACTACTTAGAACTAATGTTTCTTAAATTAAATATCGCTCCTACGTTACAAATATCTTATTTATTCAATTTTATATGTAGGCTCAACCAGTGCTTCATAATGGCAGAATCCCACCTATCAGCAAATGTATTCAGGATACTGTTGGTAGAGGTACGTAGTCGATTCATTAATGAAGCGGACCTTTTACGTACTATGGCATGAAAGCCATCCGTGTGTGCCTCGACGAACATGGCAGAGGCACCACAATAACGCGGCAATCCTAACAGCACCCTGAACGCATTATTGTATTGTACACGCAGGACATTGTATGTCCGCTGCGTGTATCTGACCCACAAGTTGCATGTGTAAAAGCACTGACAATAAGCTTTAAAAAGCGTAACTTTAACTTCTTTAGTACATCGTGCAAACCTGCGGGCCAGCATATTACAGCGAACAGCCAACGCCCTGTGTTCCCTTTCTATATCCAAGTCATCCTCTAAGTCCTCTGTTACCCAGTGGCCTAAGTACTTAAATTTGACGACTCTGTTCAAAGGACTATCACAGAGCTTAACAGTAGGCATGGTGAGCTGCCTTTTAGTGCCTGAATTAAAAACCATGAGCTCGCTCTTCGTTACATTATACTTGAGCCCATGGGTCTTTGCGTAGGATTCACAGATCCCTAGCAGCTTTCTGAGTGCACCTATCGTGGGGCTCAGCAGCACCATGTCATCTGCATAGCTTCATCAATTCAAATTAAAAGCAAATTTTTGTAAATGGCCAAGAAGAAAAGAGTATTTTTGTGGAAGTTTTGAAGTAAAAACATCAGACCGGTAACGAATTTGTATAAAAATTGCCACGACAACCAGATAAACAACGATGTCAAAACATGTCAAATTTTGGTTTCAGGCTCGTAATAGAGAAACGGCAAGATTTAAGTGAAAAATGAGATATTATTGATATAGGAAAAAAGGTAGCGTAACAGCGCGCACGAAGCCCGAAATTGCAGAGTTACGGAGAACTAAATAAAAGATCGAAAAAGGTTGACTCCATTGACACCGATTTAAAAAGTGCTGATAGCGTGAAAATACGAAGTGAAAATGATTTGTTAAAGAATATATGAAAAAAAATAAAAATAAAAAAAAAAAAAAAAATAAAAAAAAATAAGAACGTATGGAGAAATTTACTGCGTTATAAAAATTAGCATTAATAAAAAAGTCCTTTAGAGTTTCTTTTTTTAAATTTGAGAAAAGGATAATTTATAATTTCTACGTAGGATTTATTATTTATGTAGTTAAAAAATATGTAATATTGAAAAAATAAAACGCTAAAAATGCTTTGTGGCATTCCTTGCGGGGGGCCTTTGTTCAGCAGTGGACTTGTGAAGAACTGTAATGATGATGACAATGATTGTACAGTAAGCTTCCACATCAGGCCGGAAATACAGTGCAACTTTGATATAACGAAACTGAAAGGAATTACAAAATATTCGTTATACCAAACCAAGTAATTCGTTCTAATGATTTTTGTTATGTAGAAATTGTTATATAGTTAGGTGGGAATAAGATTCGTTTTAATAAGCTAAGAAACTTCTTTATCAACGTAAAACATTAAGTAAATGCTCATCTGCATACCCTGTTAAAGCGAACGATTTCCACTAATAAATGAAAATACACTTGAATAAAAATACAGTATTTTTACTTATACAAAATAGAAGTTAATAAGCAATAAATAATAACCAACTGTCTTTATAAGATTTTAACGTGTCTGAACCTATCAAGACATGATTTATTGTGAACTTAAGTGAGAACAGTTAATAGGAAAGGTTATGTCAAGGTTCTAAGTTGAAAACATTTAACGAACTATCTATATTCTGCATTGATCAAAATGTCGTTACAAAGTTTTTGATTAAAAGTATTCGTAACGTAGAGGTACATTTTGCATTAGCTCTTACGGACAGTTCTAGGGGATTTCGAAAAATTCGTTAATTATCGAGGAATTCGTTATTCGTTATATTGAGGCTCTTTATATCAAGGTCACACTGTGGTATACTTACTGGAAAAGTGGCTAGTAATGACAATTTACAAATTAGTCTGTTTAGTTTATAAATATAGGTTTAGTCTATAAAAAACGATCGCAGACAAAATCACTGTAAATCATTGTAGTATATAGATATAGTTTTTACTTAAGTGAGAAATCCAGCGTGATTGAAGCATGATACTTATATTGCAAAAGGTACATAAAATAAATTCATATTTCTAACCAGTAAATACTAATTAATGTTATAAGTAAATAACTACAAAAAAGTTAAATTATATACGGTGCCAGTTAATTTTACCTGTGTTGCGCTGTCCCCGAGCAGTTTTAGCGATTGTGCTGAACGTGAACGACAAAGGTTTGAACACCCCTTGGATGCGTCGCTACAGGGCCGAGTACGGTCTGCAAATAAGGCAAAAATTAAAATGACACATGCTATAAATTGTATTTTAAGCACCAATGACAAAATACTGTTTAGGTATCCTCAAACGATACAAAAAGAAAACGATTGTGGGTCGTCTGCATCAATCACCACCTAAGTTTCATCAGGTCACACCAACTAGTTTGGGAACGCCTTACATTCCGATTATCAGTACGAGTCTACCACACCACGACAACCTTTCTTGTGCGATATAAAAGTCTGCCACACAGGACATTTTTTCGGCGATATAAGGTCACCCAGAATTACACCTCTCTGCAGTAAGCCTGGTATTATGCTCTAGTTCTGCAATACTTCTTACTTCAAGACTCGATATAGGTTCAATTCATCTGACTCCTCCCGTCTTTCGAAGCAATGAAAGCTTAGGATTAGAGTGAGAACGGGCAGAGCTTTATTAGACGTGAGCGTAACATTATCTTAACGTTACGATTTCGTACAGATTCCTGACTATTTGGTGATCGCGGCTAGTTTTCAAACTCGGGATCACTGAGACGTTACAGAATTTCAAACACTGCGAATTTAGATTTTACATTTGTGAAACGTCTGTGATGTCAGGCGATGCCGCCGCCCGGTAGGTATCTATTTATTTATTTACTCTTTATTGTACACCAAAATACAAAACATCAAGTACAGTTAAATCTAAATCAGAATATGTACAATAGGCGGTCTGAAAGTGATTTCTTCCAGACAACCTTTGCGTAGAGAACTGATGCAAACAAAAGTTAAAATAGAGGGGGGCGTACAAAATAAAAAACATACATAAACACTCACGCCTGTCACCCAGAGGGGTAGGCAGAGACTACGGACTTCCATTTGGCACGATCCTGACATACCTCTTTCGCCTCCTTTACATCCATATATCTACGCATACATGCTCGTCGGTTAAGGGTACTTCTAACGTGGCCCCTTTTCAAAATATCGCCAATTTGGTCGATAAAATTTTTTCTAGGGCGTCCCTTCCCGACTCGGCCGTTCACATCTGCCATATAAATTTGCTTTGTCACTCTTTCCTCATTCATTCTTTCCACATGACCAAACCACCGAAGCATTCCTTTCTTAATCCTGGTCACAACATCATCTTGCATACCACATTTATCTCTTATCACGCAATTTCTCACCCTGTCATTCAGATTCAACCCTAGCATACTCCTTAAAGACCGCATTTCTACAGCATTTATTCTACTTTCGTGCTTCTTCTGCCACACCCAGCTTTCACTACCATACATTAAAATAGGGACTAACACAGCATTATGAATTACCATACGTGCCTTTTTTGACACATTCTGGTTCTTCACAATAGAGTGTAGTGCCCCATTCACTCTATTCCCTGCATTTACTCGTCGTTCTATATCCCTATCATATCTACCATCCCTGCTAAATACACATCCCAAATACCAAACTCATCCACTTGCTCAATTAACTCTCCTTCTATTCTTATTTCACATACCGTTTTGCTTTCTTCTCTTTCAAAAACCATCACTTTCGTCTTACTTGCGTTCACTTTCATTCCCCTTTCTTTTAATTCCCAGTTCATTAATGTAACCATCATTTGCAACTCAGCCGCCGATGACGCAAATATGACTTGATCATCTGCATACAAAAGGCATTTGACGGTTAACGCGCCCATTCTTAACCCACATTCTTCATCTTTCAAAGTTTGCAAACACCTGTCCATAAATAGGTTGACAGCCAAGGGGAAGCTACACAGCCATGTCTGACACCTTTTTGGATGACAAACCAGTCTGAGTAGACCCCATTGATCCTGACTCAAGCACGAGAGTCCCTATAAAGAGACCTTAATGCCTGTATCAAACCAGCGCTCAACCCATATGAGTTCAGTGTTTGCCATAACACATTCCTGTACACTCTGTTATAAGCCTTTTCCAAGTCCAAAAGCGTACAAAATAATAATAAAAGATATATAAAAATACATACAAATATAGAGAAGTGAAAATAATATATAAAATACCCTATAATAGATTAAATGAAAAGAGTACGAGAAAGGAAAAGTAATTTACCTAATAGCGTTTTAAGTAATACGATTTAATAAGACTTCTGAAAGAGTGAAGAGATTCAGCACGACGAATATGGAGAGGTAAAGAGTTCCACAATCACATAGCAGTTACGGTAAAGGATTTCATAAAAAAGGAAGGAGAGTGCAAAGGTGTAGAGAGAGAAAGATTGACGGAGGATCGAAGGAACCGATTATGGGTAAGGGAAAGATACTGGAAACGGTTTTTTAAATGATGAGGAGTGGATGGATTAAACAGCACGCTATACAACGCGGAGAGAATGTGAGTATTCCTGCGAAGGCGGATCGGGAGCCATTTGAGCTGTTTGCGAAATTCGGAGATGTCATCATATTTGCGAAGCCCAAATATAAATCTATTGCATACATTTTGAATGTACGCGGGCAGCGTGTATGTTAAGGGTTGCCACGAAAAGGGAAATAAGATAATTTTGGATATTACAATACTGTTACGAGCTTGAGGTTCGTGACAATAAAAATTTGCCTAAATTAACACTTTATTTTACTTTACACAAATTAAAACTAAAATCACTAATAATTAAACACACTAATTCACTTAATTCCGCTCCGAAGCTTCGCTTGTGTCGCCGAGTTCAACTCTCTGCCCCGATCGCATCTTGCAGCGCCTATTTATATAATTAGCAAAGAAGCGTCCCGAACATTCAAGTAAATGCGCGCCAGGCAACGAGTAATCGAGTGTAGATTTTCCAGAAACTTAGTTCTTCGGGTGGCGCTGTCGGTCGAAAGATTTGTGATGTCATTCTCTGCAACGCTCCCCTCGCTCTCGTTCCTGACACTAGATGGCGCTAGTGTGCTGATTTTAGCGCGTAACACCGCCCCCCTCCTAAGACATGCTCGTCCCGAGCATTATCGGCCCCATAATAACGCGCTAGGCGATCCACATGGACGATCTTAGGAGTCCCTCTTGCGCCTTTCTGTGACGGCTCCGCAATGTCAAGGGCTGTCCTATCCCGTGGTGCACCAACATTGTACAATTTCGGTGCTCCTCTACTACGTGTCCGAGGTCCCCGCACGGCCGCACAACTTGTACATGTACGACACCAATCCTCGACATCGTCACGATAATGGACCCAGCCGGGCTAGCATGAGCAGGGGATAAAAATTTTATCCACCGATTATATCCACTGACAAGGGATAAAATTGTCTTATCCCTATGTCAAAGCTTTATCCACCCTGCGAGCATGGGCCTATGGTGGATATAATATCGACAGTAGATAAACTTATCCCCGCGCATAGATAATATACCATAGTATAAAGCTATAAACTATACTAGCTATAAACTAGTTTTAAGATTAAGTAGATTTACATTAACTTATATTTTCTTTTTACCTTTTGTTTATTATATTGCTAAACTGTTCATAATTTTTGTTAAACAATATGTCATTTATAATATTTGTTATATTTATTTTAAGCGTATTTCTGCCTTGTTTTTATTTTTTCTATTATTCTAATTCTTTCTTTATTTTCTTTTGCATAATATTTAAGTTAAATATACATTGCTTGTATCAAATCGCAGGTATTACTGCGCTTGTGATAGCATTTATTAAAAAATATGTGTTTAGAATTAAGCCAATTGTGAAACTGGACAATACAGACCTTTTGGAGGTGGTGTAACCTCTTGAAGAAATTAAAAAAAATATATCCCCGCAATTACTGCCATTATAAAAAAAATACAAAATACATCAAAATTGATGTCTACTCTAAGTCACAAAGATTTAATTTTAATTGAAAATGATGAAGCATGAAGAATAAAAATGTAATGATTTCAAACAAAACAAGGAATAAATAATTTTATAATCATGAGTATAGTATATTTAGCAAGCTTTGCTAAAGAATTAACGTATTTCTTAATTTAAACCTTTGAATTGTAAATTTACTAAGTTTGATAACTTTATTTTAAAACGTTATAATACTTACCTAAAATATAGTATAGACCGATTCTATTATCATTAAATTTGACTTGACCATGGACTCGCTTTGGGTATTGTTGACACAACCTATGTAATTAAATCATGGCATTGAGTTATTACCGGTAGTACCGGTAGGCGTAGTGTAGGGCGACCCCCCACTAGATGGAGTGACGACCTGGTAAGACATGCAGGAAGTCGATGGATGCAGGTGGCTCAGGACCGTGCTTTGTGGCATTACTTGGGGGAGGCCTATGTTCAGCAGTAGACTTGTGAAGGGCTGTAGTGATGATGATGATGATGATGATTGAGCTATTGAGACTTTTTTGGACAAGGTGGTTGTAATAGATGCTTACTTCAATATGCACTGGTAGTCCATCCACAGAATTAATAGGCTTTAAAGCCTCATAGAGTTCTTTACACAAATACAAAACAATCTTCAAGCATCCGCAACCGGCGTAGAAATTCGTTGTCGGAGAATTCCAATAGATTAAGTATTCTGATCAGGTATCGATCGCTGATGTAATTCTGTTTCTTGTTTTTCAATTTCTGACACGAAAATGTAGTTGCAATAGGCTCGAGATATCTTTTTTGTATTAAAATGGTATGAAGATAAACTTAAACCCATGTCCGCGAAGGAGGATAAAATTGTCCCTTTCAAATGTCAAAAAGGGATAATTTTTCTCTTTCCCTTGGCCCCATGCTACGGACGGGGATATATATGTCCACTCGTTATGTCAAACGGGGATATAATATAGAGGTAAGATAATTTTACCTCTTGTCAGTGGATATAATCGGGGGATATAATTTTTGTCTTTTGCCCATGCTCGGAGGGTGGATAAAACTAAGCAAGGGATAAAAATTATGTCCTCTCTCCGGGGATATATTCTCTCCGGGTCATGCTAGCCCGGCTGTAAAACTGTTCTCGGACCTTCAGTAGAGTTCGTTTAACTCCCAGATGGACTCTTGAACGACCATTATGACACAGCTGTAGAACATTCGGCACTTTAGCTTTAGGGACGACCATTTGCAAACGACAGCTGTCTCCTCGACCATTGTCCCATTTACGGCACAGGACTCCATCCTGAATCAGCAAGCTGTCCCATTGGGCCCAATAGCTTTTCGTGGTTGAACTCATCGCTGAGACGTCCCTCCACTTAGGCTTGATGTCCGGATCTTCCTGCTGTGCATGTCGTAGGTTGTCCTTCCACCCGTTGCTGAGGTGGTCTGTTCTGAGCATCCTCACGGATACCACTTCCTTTCCTTGTCTACTACAATGGTTGCCATCTTCAGGACAAGGTCTTCTTGACAATGCATCTGTGTTGCCGTGAGATTTCCCGCTGCAGTGTCTGATAGTAAAGTCGTATTCCTGATGCTGCTGGGCGGTGCTGTTAGCCGCACTTCCTTTCTGAGACCGTTCACCTTCCCTTCCTAGGGTGTGCTTCAGGCAGCTGGACCGAAGACGGCCACTTTCCCCACAGCCATAGCACCTAGGGCTGTATCTTCTATTGTGGTCGCGAACCGTAACTGCTGCAACCTCCCTAGCGTGAGGTGAACGACGAGCCTGTCGCCGCCAGGCAGTGCCGTTAGCTGCACTACCCTCCTGATATCGTTCACTTTCCCTTTTTAGGGTTCGCTTAGGGCAGCTGGATCGAAGATGGCCCTTTTCCCCACAGCCATAGCACCTAGGGCTGTATCCTTTGTTGCGGTCGCGAACTGTAGCTGCTGCAACCTCCCTGATGCGATGGGAACGATGATCCTGCCGCACGGCTTCCACTTCCAGTGCATGGGCCAAGGCGTCCTTAAGCGTCTCGTGGTGCCCGAGCCTCACAGCAGCTCTGACTTCCAGGTCGCGGATGCCGTCGATGAATGTCTGCACCAGGTTCCCTTCAATGAGCGCAGGTACAGACCGGTATGCTTTTCGCACCAGCTTCTCCACTTCTACAGCCCACTGCTGCAGGTTTTCGTTGATGCGCTGCACACGATCTTTAAGCTGCGCACGAAAGACGTGTTCCAGGTGAGCGTCGCCATATCTCGCCTCCAATGCCTCAAGGAGTTGCTCATAAGTCACTTCCTCACCGAGAGCTTCCAGAAATGTTAAGGCCTGGTCGCGCAGGCCTAGTGTTAGAGCAGTCATGGCCTGACTTTTATTCCAGCCGTTCGCCTTCATAACAGCCTCGAACTGGATTTTGTAGGCTGACCAGGAAGAAGTCCCGTCGAATGGTGGTACCTTGAACCCACGTAGCGAAGGTGTAGTAGCTACTACGGGAGCTGTAGTTCCCTCCCCAAGTTTGAGTTCGTCAAGTGATTTCTCTTATGTCAGCCATTACGTTGACAACCCGATTGTTCACTTGGTCAATTCGGGTTTCAGCTTCCGACAGGCGGTTTTCATGTTGAGCAACCTTATCCTTCACCTCCCTTATCTCTTTCCCGAAGGTAGCGTGAAGGTCCTTCATGAGAAGCATCTGTTCCTCCTGTCGGCGGGCCTGTTCTGCCTGTCCGCCCCGCAGCTGCTCTTCCAACCGACGGCCCTGTTCCTCCTGTCGGCGAGCCTGTTCCTGCAGCATCACCATCAGGGCGCCTAAATAAGGTGCTGCAGATGCAGGAGCTACTGACGAACCGGCCTCCGTTGCCGGCGGCTGGCCCTCCGACGTCTGCGGCGTTGCACCACCAAATCTTCTCTGGTCCGTCTCATGCTGGCGTTGACTGCGGGTACGAACACCCTCCGTTTCCTCCTTAGGTAAAATCGGCATGATTTTATCCCACTTCTGACACCAATTGTTACGAGCTTGAGGTTCGTGACAATAAAAATTTGCCGATAAAATTACCTAAATTAACACTTTATTTTACTTTACACAAATTAAAACTAAAATCACTAATAATTAAACACACTAATTCACTTAATTCCGCTCCGAAGCTTCGCTTGTGTCGCCGAGTTCAACTCTCTGCCCCGACCGCATCTTGCAGCGCCTATTTATATAATTAGCAAAGAAGCGTCCCGAACATTCAAGTAAATGCGCGCCAGGCAACGAGTATTCGAGTGTAGATTTTCCAGAAACTTAGTCCTTCGGGTGGCGCTGACGGTCGAAAGATTTGTGATGTCATTCTCTGCAACGCTCCCCTCGCTCTCGTTCCTGACACTAGATGGCGCTAGTGTGCTGATTTTAGCGCGTAACAATACTCATTATCATTAATAAGATACTTATAAGTTAAAAACATTTATCGAACTAAATCATTTTTGTTACTACAAGGAAAAACGCGTTTACAATTTGTTGCATTGCCAAATATTTTCGTGAATCTTTCTTTATATAGATATTTTCAGATATACTTTCGATTTTTCAATTTAATTATGTAGTTTATTTCATTCGGTTAAATAATTTTACCAAAAAAAAAAATGAGGGACACATTACTGCTATTTATGTACAATGTTACTTAGTAATTCATATAAATGTAACAGTAATTCAACATTATAGATTGTGTAAAGTTAATATAATAACTTTACATTTAAATTTAGTTAAAGATGTACTATAAAACACGCTCGTACCAACGGTCTGCCCGTTCCCTACCCCGCAGTACCGTGCCCAGTGCCCCCACATTCGTTTCTCAACTCCTAAGGTCTTTAAACTTTGATATTAGTTACAGTAGGCTACCATAGACTGAAATGAATAGAGTCAGTCGTAGCTCGGGGAGCCAGACGAGGAGTTTGAATGTTCGTTTTTACGATATAATGTTATATTTATTATTAAATAAAAATACACTGTTTGAAACTAAAAAATAAAACTTTTTTATTTTTTATTAACAAAAATTGAATAACTCAATACTAATGCAATAATTGTAACAGAAATTTGATGGAAAGAAAAAGACATATAAGTAATTACTTGTTCGTAATGCAGTCCTCAACCCAGCTAACAAACGCAGCGATTACGATAGACCCTTCTTAGAGGAGGCAGGCTCATGTTTTAACGTGTATGTATTTATATAAATCCAAACATTCTTGAAAGCCACTAATTGCGCCATACGGGATACACAATTAGACCGGTAACAAACTATTGTATATTCAGAGATTCATTTGTTCAACACTGCCTGTATTAAAGTCCACTACTGAACATGTGCCTCCCCCATAGATTGCTTTATAGTGGGGATATTTACACAGTTGCCTCGTTTGGCAGAGAGGCAGGACAACAGTTTTTTTTTAAATAATTTTGAGTTGTTATTGGAAAGATAATACGATGTAGAGCTACGCTGCAGCTATATTATAGTTGTAGCTCGAATGGGTCGACTCGACTAGGGAAAGATAACGCTCCCACGGAATACCAGCGTTAAATAGATGGGTGCGTTTGGCAGAAAAAAGCGCTAGCAAGCGCTTGTAAACAAAATGGCGATCGTAAGCGGTAAGCGCTGTCAAATCGTAAGTAGCTATTTTCTTTCAGGACACGATGTTAGTTTTAACCGGGAAACCTAACCTAATTTAAATATATATTTGTAAAGTATTCATATTAAAAACTTACCAATCATGAATTTTTAATAACATGTATATGTTTATTCATGTCATTATATTAATTAATACTAATATTGCACAAAACAACTTATAAACTACTTCAAAACAAACAAATTAAATAAGCAAAATGGCGGATTGTGTTAGCGCTACTGAAGTAGCAATCGTGTCCTGGCCGAAAACTATTTCAGCGCTTATAAGCGCTTGCTAGCGCTTTTTTCTGCCAAACGCACCCGATGTTTTACGTTGCTGTGTTTCGTATGGTGAGTGAGAGAACCTGAGACCCTTTTTACTGGAAACAAGGTTTTTTTTTTCATCTTGGTCCTAATGGGTGACAACGAATTTGCATTTTTTTTTTGTTCTTCTATGGGCCACATCATCCACTTACCATCAGGTAGACTGTGTGCAATGTATGATATAAATTAGAGGATTCTCTTAAGCCGCCACTACACGTTTGCACATACACATCATGCTGGATGGAATTCTTCACTGATGTGCTCTGGCCAGAAGGCCTGTCTGATTACATTTAAATAGTCTTACCATGAGATTGTTTTTCAGATGTAGACGGCGGCGCGTTACTTTTACGCACGCAGTATGAAACAGAGTAGCTCGTGCTCCGAGTATGGTTACTCACGCAGCCAACGCACACGCCTGGAGATCGTTTGCCTGTGGAACGCAAATGTGACATGTTTTTTATAATACAGTGTTAAGCGTCTCCCTAGACGTAAGTTTATCGACCAAATTGGCTATATATTGAACATTTATAAGTGGTCTATAAACTGCCTCGTTGGTCTAGTGACTGCTGATCATGAGGTTCTGGGTTCGACTCCCGGGTCGGGCCAAAAAATTAATTATTGAGTTTATACGTCAAGAAATTCTCAGTAGCTGCCCGGAGTCAGGAAGTTGGCGGAGTCTCACCCCCGTGCCTCAGAAAGCATGTAAAGCTGTTGGTCCTGTGCCTGATCTCTCTCCGGTCATGTCGGTTTACCGTCTCATCGGATTATGAGAGTAGTGGAATAGAGAGTGCACCTGTGCTTGCGCATACACTTGGGCACTATAATCCTGTTCTGCGCCGATGGCTAGCCTCCGTTAAGGCAGGCCGCCGTGGTCGAAATTAGATCTGGAGGACATTAATATTTATAAGTGGTAGAGCCACCAGCTATATTAAGCAATGTAACTAATCTTCTTAAAAAATAAAGTCACCTGCAGCAAACACGGCGCCATTGGGCTGCTGACCACCATCTTTATTATTCAAATTGGGGGTAGATTTGAAAATGTCCCGCATGTAGTCCAGCGGTCTGAAGTTGGATTCGAGGGAGTCGACAGCTGCTTCCAAGGTGAGCAGGAGTTCAGTAACATATCCCTGCATGTCCTCTCCTTGTTCCGCTACCGTCTCCACCAGGCGAGATAGTATATCTGTCACCATCCGTCCCGTCATCGCTACACCGATAAAACGGAATACCTGGAAGTTTGAGAAATTGTACTGAGGTCTTGAAAGAAGATGAATGTTGAATTATTTGTTTGATATTTAAAGGATTAAGAAGATGGTCATTACGAACCGAAAAAATTGTAAACGCCACATATTCAGGTATAATTTCAGAAAGCACACGGATAAAACATTTTGTACCGCAGACAAGCACATTCACACGCATTATTAACGTTTTTATAATAACGTAATAATATATGAAAATAACAAGGAGTTTAAATTAATAAATAGTCAAATGCTAAGGAAAGAATACAAAACAAACACATTTTTGTTAAAATGTGTTGGTTTTGAATTCTTTCCATCACATTCACAAATTGTAGGGATAGCATAATTATAAAGAGGGACGCTTAACGAGACCTGTAAGGTGCCAAATACCACTTAAAGGTCGTAATTGAAATTGTAGTCAACTGAAGAGATGTAAAAACATACAGAAATTATACGAGAAGATAGAATGACATCCTAGTTTTTGTATTTCGTAGTTTAAAATAAAAATATTGGTCAAGTTGTAAGACACTTTCAAAAATAGAAATTTCAAATCTATTAACAAATAAATTATCAATACATATTTTAGTGTAGCATTTTCAAACTTTTGTATTAGCAATAAATACAAATAGCTTAACATTGGTAACTTTCCGACATGATTTCCGACAAGATTAATAATATAGATTCATACTGACAAACACGGGGCAAGTATATATAATAAGAAACGTGCGCCTGTGTGCGTGTAAGTGTGTGCGTGTTAGAGTGTGCGTGTAAGTGTGTGCGTGTGAGAGTGTGCGTGTACGGGTGTGCGTGTTAGAGTGTGCGTGTACGTGTGTGCGCGCGCGTGTGTGTGCGTGCATACCTGCAACGAGCGACCGGCGTAGTGTCGCGAGGGACACGAGAGGCCGAGTTGTAAAGCAGTTTGCGCCCATCGTTCTGATACCAACGCGTGTGGCAAAGATTCGCGAAACACGCGCAACGCGTGCCGAACAAGTGTCGCCATCTGCTGGCAGCTGCGCAAGCTCCACACTGTGGGAAACGAGACAGCGTCACATATTGCATTGAGGCCAAGACTACGATCGCTTCCTAAGGTATTTTCATTTCTAGTCCATGGGGGGTCATGGGATAGCAATCGTGTGATTTGGTGAAAAGGCTCGGCTTTACTGATGTTGATACGGCGTACCATTTATGACTTGCAGATACGATTTGACGCAACATGTAGCACCTAATTGATTTGCAACAATGTCGATCTTTGGCCTATATTTGCTTCGAAATCTGTTTTTTTTACATATAATGAAGATATAGATTTCATAATCCATTACAGCATATCAAAAGTCCCTTGCGGAACACTGAACTTCCACATAGATGTATATTTGTCATAGTTGCTACGCTTGGCAAGCGGGTTGGCAAACGCAGATATTCATTGTTTTTATTTGTTATTCAAAGGAAAAAATCATTAGGGTGGTTAAAATCTACATTATCACATTATAATATAATTGAATTATTGTTTCATATATTTATTTCATTTAACGTCCAATAATTAATTTGGTAGTATGAAGCTATAACAATCTCGAGTACAGGAACTTTGAGTCATTTACTACTGCCATAAGACTTAATTCTGTTTTGAGTAGCTGCTATCCACTTATTCAAAACTGTATATAATAGTGAATAAAAAGATCAGAAACTAGTGCATTTTGTTAAGTTAAACTGTTTGAAAAAAAAAACAACAAAGTAATTTTCACCTTTAACGTTATGACGTGATACAGTGGCTTGTGGAGAATGTTAAGAAAAAATAGTAAATTAATAAAAGTGTGGGCGTGAAAGTAAATATTTAGTTTTTCCTTAACAATTACGTAGTTTTAAGCTTAGGACAAGCAGAATATTTACAGAGAATAATAATTGTAAATAGCAGTCGATAATAGTAATTGGCTATTCGATAATACATCACAATTCAAAATTATGTGGGGTTGTTAAATTTATATGCCAAGTGTTGTTTGTAAAATATTATCTTATTGTGTGTTGTCGAATAAGATGGTCATTGAGTGAATAAGTGTTGCATTTGATTTTACAGATGGCGAGTCCTAGTGCACGCTGGGTCCAGATAGTATATCTTGTTACATACCTTTGGCAGTTATATCCTCGTATTGCCAGAGCGGCATGTGCGTTGGTCGGTTGGCGAGGAAGTGTACAAGCGACTTAATGACATCAGCCACAGGTAGTTCCGCTGGCTCCGCTTCTGGCGGCTCTGCTTCAGGCTCCGCTTCGCCCGTTATTATAACTGGCAGTGATGGGTACTTGTCTGCTTCACCTGACGATAATTCATTAATATGACAAATTTAATGTTTAAATTTTAGTTTTATTTTATTTTTATTCATTAGTCGTACCAAAGTACTCTTTACATTGGGTATTCCATTATAGGTAGGCCTTACCATAGTAGTTACGCGTGTGCAGACGATCTCACAATCATGACTCTCATCATGAGGCGGTTTGGTGATTCTATTACGCCATATTATTTTTTTTCATGTCATATGTAACATAAGTACGTCATCAAGGGTAAAATGAATTATATACTTTACATAGTAAATTATACACACACACACACACACACACACATATATATATATATATATACGTTACGTCGCCATCAGAAAGACAGTATTATATTTTATTCTTACATCATAACTATTAACCTGTTTTGATTTTTTGACTCGCTTGATATGAAAAGAAAAATGTACAAAATGAACGAAGGACTGTGATTACTTTATTCAAAAGTACGATACAATTAAATTACTACAAATTTCGCCTTTATATCCAATATTCAATTCCTTAATTTGACTCCTGATGGGTTTCTTAGAACTGTCGATCTTCTTACGTTACAGTTCCTCGCTAATAAATTATATGAATTTATATTTTTCAATGTCTGTCAGATAATTACTAATAAATTTCGATTTCCTCGCGCAGCAAATGAAATTATGTTAATTTTGTTGTGATCTTTTGAAAGACCTTAAGTATTAATTTACTACGTCACTCCTATTTGGTGAAGGACAACATCGTTTAGAAACTTGTATGTCTGAGATTGTAAAAATATATATCGTGAATGTGTGTAGTACACCAACACGCGTTTCCCGTATTGGCGTAAAGCAGTGGATTTTTCTAACAGCTCCAAAACCTTTTCATAAGTTCACTGTTACCGTAATAAATTTTTGCGCCCTAAGGCAGTCCCATCGTCCCACTCATCTCGTAGATGTCATAAAACTCGCAATAACCTTACAGCCTATTAAAGTCCACTGCTGAACGTAGGCCTCCCCCAAAGATTACCTTATAGGGGGATTTTTTCCATAACCGCCACGCTTAGCAAGCGAGTTGGCAACCGCAGTTCTTTATTTTTAGTCGTTATCAGGAAGAAGCTGCTGCCCATCTCCTGATTTATTTCCCTCTGTTGCCTATTGCGTCACCCACGGTATGACATCATAGAATACTATAATACACAATAGAATGGCTGTCAACTTTATTTTATACTAGGATTCGCGTCGCCAAACCCGATTCGCTGTGTTGACAGACTGAGTAAATTTACACATTTAAGACTTTTGATTAATGTTCAAGATCATCATTAAAAAGTCGTTTAAATTTTAATACATATTTATATGTAAATAGGGTGCAATTTGGCATTTTCTAAATAATTTACATGCGAAATTTAGAAACGATTGTAACGCGTGTTGACATTTATACGTGTACGTGTACTTTGAAGCGACAGTAGCTTAATGGCAGGGCGCGGACCGCGAACTCAAAAAGGTCGTGAGTTCGAATCCGCCATTCGACTACGGGCGTGAACCACTCGTAACACAAGCAATTTAAGCTTACCATGAGTGGTTAAGGGGAACATTAGTAATGTTTATAGTATCGTTAATATTCTTATAAAAAAGTGTGAATTGACGTATTAGTGACATTTTAGTGGATACGCGGGCTCCGCCCGCTTCCCCGTTCTATTATGTATATATTGTAGCATTCTATGTATGACATGATGTAGTGGATATTCTTACAATGCCATTACAAGGTACGGTAATTGATTCATTACAGTCTATCAAAGTGCAACGCTTAACATAGGTCTTCCTACAGATGCCTCATAATAGGGATGTGTGCCATGGTCGCTACGTTTGGCAGAACGATTGGCTTGAGCAGCTTTCATTTGCTAATTATTATTAGGAATACGATGCTGATCTCGATCGAAAGATTTACGAAGAGAAACACTACGAATACGTTAGTGATACATGTGCATACATTATTTTGACTATCGATGATTCTACGATTTTTAAATAGCTTAATTTCGAGTAGATAACAAAATTATATATGTTTTATAATGCTGAGTGGAAACATAAGAATGACGTGGTTTTTTTGATGTAAAATAATGAAAATGTAAAAAAATGAATAGTCTTTAAATGGTTACGGAGACATACGTAGATTACCTTCGGGCGTGACATGCGGGTCGGAACTCAGCGAGCGTGCGTGCGCGCGCGGGGAGTGACCGCAATGCGCGTGCTTGTCGAAAACCGCATCGGGTTCTGGAACGCAAACATCCGTTCAAACAAACTCATTTACACTAATATGTTTTGCCCACATCCCTCTTCTGGCATTAGTTCTGCTTATTAATTTTAAAATCAATAAAATGTTACCCTTAATTTCAAAATTTCATATTATGCTATTAGTTTTATATACATAAGTTACAGGTTACATAAGTTATTGGCCGTGTAGTGGCGGTTGAGAATATCCACTACCCCATATCTTCCCATGGGTGTCGTAAGAGGCGACAGAGGGACACAAAAAGGAGATGGGCAGCAGCATCTTCCTGAACCAATATAATAAAAACAATCGAAAAAGCAAATAAACGGCCCCCAGTCCCCGGCGGCCCCGCTATTCCTGGCTACGGTGGCGACCATGGTAACGGCGGGGCAAGGGGTGCTAAGAATCTCCGGTGGAGGTTCGGTTGCCATCTACGACGACTCGACCTGGCAACGTATAACGCACGCACCCTGAGGACTGACGAGAAGATACTGGAGCTGGAAGAAGAGGTAGAGAGGTAAAGGCAAGTTGCGCTGGCATATTATTGGATTATCTGAGGTACGAGGAGAGGGGGAGGACACAGTAATCGTCGAGTCCGGCAACTTGTTCTATCACCGGGAGGGCGACCATCTGTCCCAAGGAGGTGTCGGATTTATCGTCCACAAGTCTCTCGTCAACAACGTTGTAAAGATTGGGAGTGTGTCGACGAGAGTCGCGTACCTGATACTCAGAATCACCAAACGGTATTCGCTGAAGGTCATACAGGTCTACGCACCAACCTCGGCATATCCCGATGAGGAGGTGGAGGAAATGTATGAGGATATTTCTAGAGCCATGCATTCCTCTAAAACCCACTACACGGTGTTGATGGGAGACTTCAACGCAAAACTAGGCACAAGTGAAGGCGGTGAGCTGAAGTTAGGGAAATTTGGAGTAGGGCAATGGAACCGTAGGGTCCAGCAGCCGGCTGACTTTATGGAGAAAGAGGGACTCTTTATTATGAACTCTTTCTTCCAGAAGCGGCCCCACAGGAAGTGGACCTGGTCGAGCCCCGACGGTTCGACAATAATTGACTTCATTAGAAGACCAGACCCAACTTTCATGATGTCTCAGTGATCGCAAGGGTGAAAACCGGCAGCGATCACGAAATGGTTAGAGGCACAGTGAACCTAAACGTTAAGTTGGAGAGGTCTCGTCTAATGAAGTCAACGCTCCGTCCCCCCCGTGCTCTAATCCAGAATCCCGAGACTTTTCAGCTCGAGTTACGTAACCGCTTTCAGTGCCTAGAAGATTGCAATGCAGTGGACGATATGAATGACAAGCTCGTGGAAATTGTCCATGCGGTCGGAGCTAAGTTCTGCAAGACCCGCCGCAGAAGAACACAAAAACTCTCCGATCACACTCTTAATCTCATGGCTGTTAGACGGGAGATGAGGCTGCAATCGTCAACAGATTTGACAGCATACAGGCAACTGAACAGACAGATCTCCAAAGGCATACGGCGAGACTTACGCAACTTTAATACCGCTCGTATTAAAGAAGCGATCGAGCGGAACGAGGGCTTCAAACTCTTTGCCAGAGATCTGTATGCCAGAAAGAGCCAACTGTCAAAGCTGAAGACTGAGTGTGGCAGCATCGTTTCCGGGACACCTGAGATTTTGAGTGAGATTGAGAGGTTCTATGGGCAGCTGTACACATCACCGTTGGAGCCACACGCAAGTATGAGTAACAATCCAAGAGCAAATCTTACACGACACTATTCCGATGATATCCCAGACGTCAGTCTGAGCGAGATTAGAATGGCTCTCCAGCACCTTAAAAACGGCAGGGCCCCAGGCGAGGATGGAATTACAGCGGAGCTTCTGAAAGCGGGTGGAACACCGGTACTTGAAGTCCTTCAGAAGCTCTTCAATTCCGTCCTCCATGGTGGCACTACTCCGGAGGCGTGGAGCAGAAGTGCGGTGGTCTTGTTCTTTAAGAAAGGCGACAACGCTCTCTTGAAGAACTACAGACCGATATCCCTTCTGAGCCGCGTCTACGTGCTGTTTTCGAGAGTCATTACGAATCGTCTCGCACGCAGACTCGATGACTTCCAGCCTCCCGAACAAGCCGGTTTCCGAAAAGGCTTCAGTACCATAGACCACATACATACCCTGCGGCAGATTGTACAGAAGACCGAAGAGTACAATCTGCCACTTTGCTTGGCGTATGTGGACTATGAGAAAGCCTTTGATTCCGTCGAAATTTGGGCGGTGCTACAGTCCCTTCAGCGGTGCCAAGTTGACTGTCGGTATATCGAAGTGCTGAAGTGTTTGTACAGTAGGGCTACGATGGCTATCCGAGTACAGAACCAGAGTTCGAAACCCATCCAACTGCAGAGAGGTGTAAGACAGAGTGACGTTATATCCCCGAAACTCTTCACCGCTGCGTTGGAAGACGTTTTTAAGCTACTGGACTGGAAAGGATACGGTATTAACATCAATGGCGAGTACATCACTCACCTTCGATTTGCCGACGATATAGTCCTTATGGCAGAATCGCTGGAGGACCTTAGCACTATGCTCAATGACCTCAATAGTGTCTCCCAACGGATAGGTCTTAAGATGAACATGGACAAAACAAAGATCATGTTTAATGTCCATGTCACACCTATGCCGGTAGTTGTTGGGAGCACTATGCTCGAAGTTGTTGACGAGTACGTTTACCTGGGACAAACAGCCCGACTAGGTAAGTCCAACTTCGACCGAGAGGTCAATCAACGGATTCAACTCGGCTGGGCAGCGTTCGGGAAATTACGACACATCTTCTCGTCATAGGTATACCTCAATCTCTGGAAACTAAAGTGTGTGTTGTGAAGGGCTGTAATGATGATGATGATGACGAAGTTACAGGAGGGACTGAAGGCTCTGAAGCGCTAAGCATTATTTTGCTGTGCGGGCCGCGAGTACAAATCCCGCAAGGAACAAATGTTATATGTATGTGTATAGTTTGTCTATAGCGATTTCTGTATATTAAAGGCCCCTATGATAAGTATCCCACTGAGGCATCCCGTAATTTCTTTTAAACAAAATAAGTAGGATAAAGCCAATTTAGCCAATAGCTACCGAACCTTGATTTAAGATCAGTACAATATGACGCACTTTAAAAGGCTAGCGTTGTTTTACTACAGTATCTTTGTCATCATCATAATAGAAGAGTTAGCTCTTTTAATATTTTATACACATTACAAATAAGTATTTCATTTAATATTGAAGATATGTAATAAATTAATAATAACCATAATATTATGGTAATAGAGCGAATAATTGCACTCAACTGAGAAAGAACCATGCTCTCATAGAATACCAGCATAAATATCAGGTTAATGCTGCCGTATTTCGTATATATTATCTTACATACTATCTTATATACTAACTATATATTACTATATAGTACCTACCTGTTTACTACTCGTATGTCTCTAGTTCTACCCGAAAGCAACTAGCCATATATGTATAGCTTTAGCCATGAATAAATCGAAGTTTAATCAAACGCAAATACTGGGTGTATTTGCGTTTGATTCTAGCCGTAACTCGTCGTAGATTTAAGGGGAAATATAACCTCAAATGGCTTAGCAAGATCCTCCGTTATGCCGAAAATATTGCAGCATTAATTTTGAAATAAATATATGGTAAAGTTGAGGATTAATGTTAAGGATTATGTTAGACGAAAACACGATTCCGTAAAATTATATCGATAGAAAAATTCCAAAGTTACCTCCAAAATAAACAATAAACCGCTGTTATTCATAAAATACTTTAAATAATATCATGAAACTTTGCATACTAACTGAACTCACTATAAAGCAGTGCTTATATTATTTACTTTTTTAAAATACCACTATTTTCACTGTAAAAAGAAATTACCTAAACTATCGGCCTCTTGAAGCGTGATTCCTGCCGCCCGGTCAGTTTCGCTTTGGCCTTTGAAGGCGGTTGTGTCGCTTACGATATATATAACATAATACACATTACGCAACAGGATGACGTAAAATTAAAATGGGAAATAACCGTAATAAAAATAAGAAGCGACTGGCTTGGCGTTAAGAAACAGGGATAAATATGATAAACCTAATGAAATAAGTGTCTAACGACCTATCTACTTACAGTATTAGTGATTACAAACATGTCGGTACATAGCATACGACGCGCGTTCAAGTGGGGACGAAATTAGAATTTGAGCTGACTTACTATATCCCCTTAAGCCGTGACTTATAAACGTTATTACATTCTGAGAAAAAGTGTGCAACGTTTGTTTTTCTATTTCATTGAATCATTGTAAAGCTAATCTACTCTAGCGGTGGCATTTTGAAATTAAAAAGTCGGACTCGACAGGTAACAATGGATATACATGTTATGAAAATACTTTTGTCTCTGTTTTACAGGTTATAGTTATATTACAGTCGACCACAGCCACCGATATGACATAGGTAAGCAACATTGGCATGCATTGCGGTCAGCCAACATCGATATGGAATTAAGCTTAAACGAGAATATGAAATAGAATTAAACGGAATATTAAAATAATAATCCTCGATATTTGGTGCTGAATCGAACAGATGCAATCTATTTATGTGTATATGTTTAATATTGGAGCTGAATCAAACATTCGTTTATCATCATACATCCTGCATCCCCATCGGCTATCGGTGGTACGAGTTACATAGCCGGCCCATTCAGGACAGACACGGACAGATCTCCTGGACTATATCAGTTAATCTTGTTATTCTGTTTGCTGGAAACCCTGAGCTGGAGCGTGATTATATTTTTTTATAAGATTGGGTGACAAACGAGCTCACAGTCACCCTGATGATAAGTGTGGCCCACAGACATTTACATCTATCCTCGATTACGAATCAAAATACAAATGCATTGTCACCCGTAAGGACTAAGATTTAATGCCTTGTTTCCAGCAAAAAAGGTCTCCGGTTTTGCTGGAAACACGGAGCTGGAGCAATCCTTCC